ATTGGGCCAGAGGACAAAGCAGCCTCTCAAAATCCCATGCCGCCGCCGCCGCCAGTCTCCTTTTCCTCCTCTGACAGCGGCCCTGGGCAGCCCTGCCTGGTCTGGAACTCAGCAGCACTTTGCCTCTCCAGTGCTGCAGTTACAGGCAGCTGCCCTCATGCTTGTTTTAGCTCTGCTTTTGTTAGTACATGAAGGCTTGGCTCCCTACCCTGTAAGTTTCCGAAGTGTTACTGTTATCTTAGTTTCCCAGAAGTTTACTATGTTACACACTTCAAGGCCAAATTGAGGCTGTAAACAGCAGTGGCTGAAATTCAGCACTTGGGGGGAGGACATCCCTGACCGCCAGCACTTGGGAGGTGGAGGAGTCAGGAGAGGACAGGGAAGGGTCTCTGGTCATTTGATCCTCACTGCATATCCCACCTTCCCAAGAGTCCCTGCAGACCTCTCAGGAAGCCTTGTCCCCTCGGTACCGGTAGTGATCTATTCTCTTCCCTGAAATATGGCTCCGAGGTACTTGACCAAATCTTGTAACCTTTTTGTTATCAAACTCACATCGGTTGTCTATCAATGTTTAGATGGGTTCTACTTGATAGGGTGTATGCTGTTCCAGAGTTCTGTCAGCAAGACCTTGGGCAAGTTACCCAACTTCTCTGTGCTTTTTCCCCCCTTCCTCATATGTAAATATCCCCAGGAGAAGAGGGGGCTTGCTGTAAGGTCATCTTTGGTTCTAAGTTGGTAACAAGGTGATTATTTGACTCTTATGGAATTCAACCACAAAGCTCTGGGCATGATGGTGCATGCCTGTAATCCCAGCTTTCTGGATGCAGAAGCAAGAAGGTGGCAGCAAATTCAAGGCCTGGCTGATGACCTACATAGTGAGTTCAAAGCTAGCCAGGGCTTCACAGTAAGGTCCTGTCAAAAAACAAACCAAGTGGGCGTTGGTGGTGCATGCACGCCTTTGATCCTAGCTCTTGGGAGGCAGAGCCAGGCGGATCTCTTTGAGTTCAAGGCCAGCCTGGTCTACAGAGCAAGATCCAGGACAGACACCAAAACTACACAGAGAAACCCTGTCTAGAAAAACAAAAACAAACAAATAAAAACCACCACTAACAACAAAAAACAAAAACAAACCAAGCCATGCATTGTGGCACATATCAGTAATCCCTGCACTTGGGAGACAAAGTATGAGGATCAGGAGTCATTCTTGGTTACAAATGGTTCAAAAGCAGCCTGAGTTACATGAGACCTTGTTTCAAAACCAACAAACAAACAAGCAAACAAAACAATTTATACAAGAACATGGGCCTAAGCAGAAAAGTATGTACAATTACTTTGATGGAACATTTGGGTTTGGGGGAAGAAGTAGGCATGTTCTACGTATCTCAGTGTTAAGAATGCGTGGGGGGCTTGGGGATTTAGCTCAGTGGTAGAGCAAACTGCCTAGCAAGCCTAGGACCCTTGGTTCAGTCCTCAGCTGGCATGGTAACAAAGGAAAACAAACCAGGCCAGGTGGTGCACGCCTTGAACTCCAGCACTCTGGAGGCAGAGGCAGGTGGATCTCTGAGTCTGAGGCAAGCCTGGTCTACATAGTGAATTCTGGGACTGCCAGGACTATGTAGAGAGAGATAAATAAATAAGAGTTTGCGGGCTGGAGACTATACCTCCGTTGATACAGTTTACCTGGCATGCATGAAGTCCTGGAGTCCTGGGTTCATTAGAAAACCAGACATATTTGAGAAAGCCTGTAATCCCAGCATTTGGGAGGTGGAATCAGGGGGATCAGAAATTCCAGGCCAGACCTTGGCTACATGAAACAATGTCTCAGAAAAACAGAGTTGGTAGAGGAAAGGCAACAAATGTGCTACAATGTGTATTCATTTTAAACAGTCGTTTCCCAAAAAATCCCTAGCTGTAAAAAAATGTGCTTTAAACTATTTTGAATAAATTGAATTATTATATTTGGGGGTTGGGATGTGCAATGGCCCAAGTCTGAGACGACCTGAAGGGATCCTCTTCCTATTACATGGGTCCATGGATGGAACTTGGATCTTCCGGCTTGGCAGTAAGTGCCTGACCACCTTCCAGGCCTGAAACCGCCTTTTCTCTTCTGTTAGCATTTATCTTTTCCTGTTACAGAATGTCAGGAAGCTTGTTCTCCCCCCTGCCCCCTATTGATTTCTATGAATCAATACTTCTCTCCGTAATTCTGCTTTCTTTTTCCATTTCTCTCCATTAAAACTAAGCAAAGTAAAGAAAAAGACATCCCTCTCCCCTAATGCCCCATTCAGCCAGAGACATGTGAGTCCCTGAACACCACCATCTGGCCTGCTTCTAAACTAAGCAGCCAGAATTGACCAGCACCTGCAGCTGTCACTCAAAGGAAAAGAATCCCACCCGGAAAGTTTTGGCCCCAAAGAAGTTTTCCCAGACCAAATGAGGCCAAGACTGAGAATTAGTTTTAACTTTGCTCTTTGGACCGAGTCCACTTTGGACAGAATCCACCTGGCAGTCTCCTAGCCCCCCAGGTGTCATATACCTGTGATTTCCCCAAAGGAAAGCTACTTATAAACTAGAAACTACAATTTCTCTAACTGGAGCTACAGATCGTTTGCAATAAAACCCGTTATATAAAATAAAAAGCAGAAGAGAGAAGGGTCCTGGTCACATAGCAAGTTAGTTGCCAACCTAATAATAGTTAAAAGGCCCTGTCTCAAAACCACGGAAGTTTGAACTTGAAGCTCGTGGTTTGTACCATTAATGAGAGTAGTTCCTTCAGCCACAGCAGATGCTATTTCCTGAAAGGACATTTTCCCCTTCTGATGCCTTTTGATGATGACCACTTTACTCTTAAATGTAATGTGTTGTGAGAATAAATCTAGCTGTATAGAAAGAAAAGAAAAAGTCTCTACATAGCCCTGGCTGTCTGGCCTTGAACTCTGAGACCTGCCTGCCTCTGTCTCCCTAGTGCTGGGATTAAGGGTGTGTGCCACCATGACCAGGTGTATGAGTGTTTTGCTTGCATGTATATCTGTGAGTTGCTTGGTGCCCGGTACATATGGAGGTCAGAAGAAGGCATTGAATCCCCTAAAACTGAAGTTATAGACTGTTGTGAGTTACCACATGGGTGCTGAGAATTGAACCTGGCCCTCAGGAAGAACAGCCAGTGCTCTTAACTGCTGGACCATCTATCTCTCCAGCCCTTAAGATAAAAGAGTCTTATTCTGTAGTTCAGGCTGTTCTGGAACTCACTAGGTAGCTCAGGCTTTCCCTGAGTGAACAGTAATCCTCTTCTCTTGGTCTCCCAAGTACTAGAATTATAGGTCAGACCACCACATCTGGTTTCACAAAAATAAATAATACACACAAACATGCATGTGTAAATACACACCTATCTTCTTGCTAGATTATATATAACTTAAAGACAAATTGATTCATTGTCTCTGTCTCTGGCATTTATTTGGCAAACAGTTGCTTGTCGAAGGGGCAGGCAAAGAGGCAGGTGTTACATGAACTGCTAAAATGGTCACTTAATAAAAAAATCCCGGTACCAGATATTGGGGTAAATGTTGAAAGATCAGAGAGACAAAGGAACAAGCCACTGCCACATCTCACCTCACCAGCTCTCTGAATCCTCTGAGTCCTCACTGGAAAGGCTCCAGCCGAAAAAGCCTCTAGCTGAAAGGGACGCTTCTGCTGAAAAGCCTTTGGTTCCCATCTCCTCATGCCTTACATACCTTTCTCCGCCCAGCCATCACTTCCTGAGATTAAAGGCCTCTGTGCAGAGGAGTTGGAGAGGTGAGAAGTGGCTGTGGCTTGTTTCCTCTGATCTTCAGCATTTACTCCAATATCTGGTTCCAGGTTTTTATTATAAGACCAATTAAGATTCGTGCAACACATTGGAAATGTGGAGGCAGGGAGATCAGAGGTTCAAGTTAATCCCCGGTTACATATTGAAGTTTCAGGATGGGGTACATGAGACCTTATTTCAAAGGCAGTTTATGGTTCATACATGTAATCTCAGCATTTCTGAGGCCAGAGCTGGAGGATTGCTGACAGTTCCAGGCCAGGTTAGATTACTTAGTAAGATCGTCTCTCAAAACAATACAAAGCTGGACGAGGTGGTGCACACTAAATTCTAGCACTAGGTAGGCATCAGAGGCAGGTGGATTTCTGTGAATTTAAGACCAGCGTGGTCTATACAGTGACTTCAGGACACCTAGGGCTGCATATTGAGACCCTATCTCAAAAACAAAATAAAATCAAGAAACACACACACACACACACACACACACACACACACACACACACACACACACAGTGCTCGCGCACAGGATATTGTTTCCTACTAGGAAGCTGGAGATGAGCTCAGGACTCCTGTCCCACATGGATGGCCTACTCCCAATTTCCCCCAGAGTAGAGCCCATTGTCAGCAAAGATGAGAGCATTATGGTTTATTCTTAACTAACAGGCATTTGGTCTTGCTTTAGAAAGAAAACAGGTGTACCCACTTTGTTCTTTGGCCCGGAACAGGTCTCAAGCTGCTGGGAGATTAGCATTTGTTTAGAGGAATGTCAAGGTCAGACCGGATGGTTGTTGAGCTGCTTCCCTCTTAGCATATGTGCTGCAAAAGGCCAGTCCTGATCAGAGCAGCTCTCTGCAGGCAGTGACATCAGGGAACCTTAGAAACCCAAGAGCAGGTCTGCACTAGTTTAAACGAAATCGACAAGAGAGTAGTCTGGGAAAATGTCTTTTCTTTAGTGACCCCAGCGGGCCCATCCTCAAGCTTGCAGAACCAGTGCCCTATCAGCAACAGAGGATCTGAGGGGGCTACTTTCTCATCTAAAATATCAACACCACCACCTGTCACGCTACCATTAGAGCTTAATCCCCAATGTCTCTAAGGAGACTTTTCTATGGTGACATTTGCTACCTCTACACTTTTCTGCTTCTAGGACCTCTACTGACATCAAATTCTTTCTCCTCCTCCTCTTCTTCCTCTTCTTAATATGGAATGCTTTGCAAATTTTTGTGTCTTCCTGTGCAGGCCACGCTAATCTTCTCTGTATTGCTCCAATTTTAGTATATGTGCTGCTGAAGTGAGCACATCAAATTCTTATGGAAAAGACAGATTAGTAGCTGGAGGTAATAACTTCGTTAGCCTGCCATGCAGAGCACTGCACAGACACCACCAACCCCTATGATTGTTCTGCACTACACTGACTCCCAAGGCATTGTCCCTTTAGACAGACAATTTCATTCTTTTCTGCCTGGGGCTCACACAGTTTCCCCTGCTAGGAATAAATGCTAACCCATCTTCTCCCAGTCTTGTTTTTTTGTTTTTTTGTTTTTCTTTTTCACTTAGCACATGAAACACTGTATTATGAAGTATTATGTCTTATAATATTTTAACATAGCCCGGCACTCAGGAGGCAGAGGCAGGCAATCTCTGAGTTCAAGGTCAGTCAAGTCCAGGACAAAGTTCCAGGACAGCCAGGGCTACATAGAGAGACTGTCTTGAAAAACAAAAACAAAAAATTTAACATTTATCTTTTGTGTATGTGTACGCACACATACTTCATATGGAAGTGGAGGTCAAAGGATAATGTGCAAGATTTCATTTTCTCCATTCACCATGTGGGTTACAGCGATTTAATTCAAGCGCCAGGCTTGGTGGTAAGCTCTTTACCTGCAAAGCCGCCTCACAGTCTCTACACTTTTTTTATTTTACTTGATTTTTTTGGTGCTTGTAAGGAAAGAACTTGACTGACAGAGCTTCTCCCTAACCCCTTCCCCACAATATATCTTATTTTTAATAAAAGTTCCTTATAACTTTGTGTGTGCGTGTGGTGAACATCAAACCTAGGGCCTTGTACATATTAGATAACATTCTTACACCAACTCCACTCCCAGCCCCACCAAGATTTAAGAATTCAATTATTTTTTCAAGTCTCTGACATGCATCATTTTGCATGGACCTGAAAACATCCTTTACATAGATGAAGGAGATTTGGGGACTTCTTTTTAGGGGTGGGAGTTGAACTCAGGGTCTCCTAGGGAGTCACATCCTCCAGCCCAAGGACAAGTAATATTTAAGGTGGGAATCTGCTGGCCTTTTAGAGAAGTAGGACACCAAGGGTCATTAGATTGTTTTGGGGAGGAGGCTATTGTATCTAGGTCATAACTAATTAGTGAAGTGTGTGTGTGTGTGTGTGTGTGTGTGTGTTATGTGTTTACATATGTAGGCTGGAGGTTGAGTTCCAGATGTCTTCCTAATTGTTCTTTTGTTCTTTTTATATATGTATGTTTTATTATTTATATATATATATATATATATATGTTTTATTATTATTTTTATCTTTTGAGATTGTTTCACTACGTAGTCTTGGCTGGCCTGGAAGTTGCTAGGTAGACCAGGTTGGCCTCTAACTCATGGATAGCTGCCTGCCTAGGCCTCCCACAAGTGCTGAGATTAAAGGCATTTGCAACCATGCCTGGCTTTTTTTTTTTTTTTTTAGATGGGGTTTTTAGGGGTTATCTTAGTTAGAGTTTCTATTTCTGTAAAGAGATACCATGATCATAGCAACTCTTTTTTTTTTTAATTTATTTCTTTTTATTTTACGTGCATTGGTGTTTTGCCTGCATGTGTCTGTGCGAGAGTGTCAGATCTAGGAGATTACAGACAGTTGTTAGCTGCCATGCTGGTGTTGGGAATTGAACCCGGGTCCTCTGGAAGAGCAGTCCGTGCTCTTAACCGCTGAGCCATCTCTCCAGCCCCTCACAGCAACTCTTATGAAGGAAAACATTTAATTGGGGCTGGATTACAGTTTAGAGGTTTTTTTCATTATTGTCACATCAAGAAGCAAGCAGGCAGACAGCCCTGGCTGTCCGGGAACTCACTCTGTAGCCCAGGCTGGCCTTGAACTCACAGAGATCCACCCGCCTCTGCCTCCCAGGGCTGGGATTAAAGGTGTGAGCCATCACTGCTTGGCTAAACCTTTGATTTTCTTTTTTGAAAAAAAAATGTTAAAGGTGATGGTGGCCCACACGCCTTTAATCACGACACTTGGGAGGCAGAGGCGGAGGCAGAGGCAGGCGGGTCTCTGTGAGTTCGAGGCCAGCCTGGCCTACAGAGTGAGTTCCAGGAAAGGCGCAAAGCTACACAGAGAAACCCTGTCTCAAAAAACCAAAAAATAAATAAATAAAAATAAATTTATTTTAGGTTGCATTGGTGTGAAGGTGTCAGAACCTCTGGAATTGGAGTTACAGACAGTTGTGAGCTGTCATGTGGGTGCAGGGAATTGAACCAGGGTCCTCTGGAGGAGCAGCCAGTGCTTTTAACTGCTGAGCCATCTCTCCAGCCCCAAGCCTTTGATTTTCAATAGTGGATTTTATTTTTCTTTAATCTTTGACTTTCCCAAACATTTCCATAAAAAAAGAAAAGAGACTGAACTGACCAGACACAATATTCGATCACTAGCCAAGAGAGATAAGATGCATCTACACATGAATAGCCAGGATAATAAGTTCCTGTTGTTAGAGGTACAGCCTGAGCATTCTTTGATCAATTCAGGCAGAAAAACAAAGGCTTCCCTTGAACTGGGCAGGACTGTTTAAAATTTCAATTGTTTTAGCCAAGTAATTTAAATAGAACAAGTCTATTAGTAACTAGCAAGTTATTAATTAGCACTGTACCCCATCAGTATAAGCTAATTCCCTTTCTATCATTTTTAAACCAGTTGCACCTTATGGGTACAAATAGGAAGTGAATATAATTCTGTTTGTTGAGGGCTTATAGTGTGCCAGGAAGATACTTTACATTCTCTCTCTCTCTTTTTTTAGGACAGGGTTTATCTGTTCTTCCAGAGGACACTGGCTTGATTCCCAGCACCGAGAAGGTGGATTACAACCATCTCTAATTACGGTTTCAGGGGATCCGATACCATTTTTTGATCAGGCAGGAACATGGTGCATATATGAATGTATACATATTAAACCTTTTTTTTTTTCTTTCGAGACAGGGTTTCTCTGCGTAGCTTTGCGCCTTTCCTGGAGCTCACTTGGTAGCCCAGGCTGGCCTCGAACTCACAGAGATCCGCCTGGCTCTGCCTCCCAAGTGCTGGGATTAAAGGCGTGAGCCACCACCGCCCGGCCACTTCATTATTTGAGCGGGGGCTACACAGAAAAACCCTGTCTCAAAAAACCCAAACCAAACAAAACCAACCAACCAACCACACCCCCCTCCCCGCCTCAACCAAAAAAAAAAAAAAGCATTCTTTGTGTTTAATCCCTTTGGGTTAACCTCTTTACTAAGAAGTGGCTCTGGTAACTTCTAAAGACCCAAACCCCGATTCAGGTCTCTTAGGCCAGGCGTAAACTCCCTTTCCTTATCGCAAAACCGGGTCAATCCTTGCCTCTTGGGCTAGTACACGATTTTATAAACCTCTGACATCGGGTAGGCGTTCAAAAAATGGTAGTCGTTTCCTGAAGAGGAGTGTGGGGAGCGCAGCAAGCAATCCGCACTTGACTGCATTGATGTCTCGAGGCCACTCAGCCGGAGGACGTTCCTGGTATCTCGGCTCGGCGACTAGCCGTTGGCGTTTTCCCGCGCAGAGGGCAGGGCGGAGCGCCAGTCCCGCAACGTGGTAGCTGGACCCACTCTGCGCCAGGACTACACCTCCCAGCAGGAACCACGCTGCCTCGCCTGGCAGGTGGCACCCACGGGTACTACCCGGAAGCTAGTCCTACCGTACTTGTAGTAGCCAGAGTCTGGAGTTGCATCTACGAATTCGACGGGAAAAGGCGGCCTTACCCAGCGCTTTTGCCGCGCAGCACGCTGGGAGTTGTAGTCCACTCCGGCAACGTCCAGAGGCCAGGCTTGCTTTGAGTGGTTGGACCATGTCACGTGACGGCAGAGATGGCCGCATGCGAGTCGCTTGCCGTGTCTCTGAGGTCATCAAAGCGCGACAGCCACGCTCTAGGAGTGGGTTCCCTGTAGGCAGCGGATAAAATGACTCTGGAACGCCAAGCACGAGCCATGCTAGCCTCCCCACAGCCTCCACGTAGCACCCCTTGCCCAGATGCCAGAGCAGTACTGCCCAGCCGGGTCGACCTGCTCAGGCTTCGAGCACTGGCTCCGCCCTCTCCCGTGACGTAGGGTCACGTGACGGGCAGGGCCGCCTCTGCCGCCGCCGCCGCTTTGTAAGAGGCACATTGGCAGGTAACGAGCGGCGGCGGCGGCGGCGGGTCCCGAGTCCAACGAGAGCAGCAGCGGTAATTGCCATCCCGTCCCCTTCGGTCGCCTTTCCCGGGCCCCGGAACCTGCAGTGTGTGCTTTCTAGACCTGGGCTGAGGTCTTCTGAACTCGCAGCCCCCCTTGGGATGCCCCAGGGTCTACACGGGTGGACCCGGCCGAGCTTCCCTCGCTGGCTTCTTGTTTCCTTCGTGTGTCCAGGCCCGGGCACCCACCCGCCTTCCTCTCCCGCTCAGGTTGCCCTGAGCTTCCTGCTCCCCCCCACATCGTAGTTGGCCGGGCCCCACCCAGCCCCAGGGGGCGCCTTCCCCTCCCCCCTCCGGGTTTCTGTCCTGGAGGGTGTGGTTTTTCTCTCCCACCTCGGTCCCTGCGTGTAGGCTGGAGCTCCCAGCCACGCTGTCGCCCTCATCCTGACCACCTTTCCGCTTTCACGGCTGGCGCCGGTCCTGGGACGGTTCTTAAAGCCCAACTTCTGCGCTCTAGTCTTTCCCTACTGAACCTGAAGGCATTAGTTCAATTTTTACTTCTTTTCATTCCGGAGGGCTTTGGTGTTAGTTGAAACTAAAAGTTTTTTTCCTCATGCCCTGTTCTTGTAGTCTGGTCGTGTCACAGTTTATTCTTTTCTTTACCGTAAGTTAAGAGTGCTTTGTAAACTGTAAAGCGTGCTGTTAGAAATTCAAATGAGAATTCTTTAGCCTGGTGCATTCCAACTCAAGTTTTCTTTACCACTGAATTACTTTACCACTTGGCTTTCCTGCCTTTCCCCCTGAATTTGAGTTCGTTGCCCAGGCATGTCAACTGTCACCACTCAGAACTCTTGAGTCTTGTTTTCTCTTGAGGTTTGTCTTCTCATC